CTCCTATTGGAATCAATTTAGACTTTAAAAGATTAACCCAAAGACCTGACACTGCCTCAAAACACCATAGCACACACCGAAGATGGCCAATTTGATCAGCACCAGCATTACAAAATATAAGTGCATCGTCCACATAAAAAAGATGGGATACAACCAATGAGGTAGATCTAGAACCCACTTTGAAGCCCTGCAACAAGCCTCCATGAACCGCCCTCGACAACAAATGTCCCAGAGCCTCCATTACCAGTAGGAATAACATCAGGGACAAAGGATCGCCCTGCCGCAAACCTCTGTGCGTAGGAAAAAATCTTGCTGGGGAACCATTAACCAATATCGACATCCGCACCATGGATATACAAAAATGTATCCACAGCCTCCAAGTAACCCCAAAACCCATCATCTCCATCACATACAATAGGAACTCCCAATTAACATTATCATATGCCTGCTCAATATCTAGTTTGCAAATAATCCCCTCATTTCTTTGCCTCAATCTCGAATCCACACTCTCATTGGCTACCAAAACTGCATCCAAAATTTGCCTACCACCCACAAAAGCATTTTGAGAATCAGAGATCACCCCCTCCAGCGCCCCTCGAAGCCGATACGCCAATAACTTGGCCAACAATTTATATACACTACCCAACAGACTGATGCGCCGAAAGTCACCGATATCCTCCGCCCCACACTTCTTTGGAATTAATGCGCAATAAAAGTGGCATTTAAGCTCCTCTCAAACTGTCCCATCCGATGGAACTGGTCAAACATGGCCATCACATCCTCCTTCACCACTCCCTAACAGTGCTGGAAAAAGGCAATAGAGAACCGTCTGGCCCAGGCGACTTATACCCAACCATACTCCGCAACGCCTAAAACACCTTTTCTTCCGTAAACGATCTCTCCAGCAAAGAGCCATCAACCTATGAGATCGCATCAAAATAGACCCCATCCAACCTCCGCCTCCAAGCTCCCTTATCAGCCCGAAATAAATGCTCATAGAAATCCACTATGGCCCCCCTAATCTCCTTCGAAGATGATAACTCTACCTCATTCACCCGCAATCTCCCTATTTGATTCACCCGCCAATGCGCATTAGCCATACGATGAAAAAATCTCGTATTTCGATCCCTATCCTTCAACCACAAGCATCTCGATTTCTATCGATAGCTAATCTCCTCCATACAAGCTACCTGCATAAATTCCTTACAAGCCACCTCCCGACGAACCACATTCTCTTCAAATAATATCCCCGCTTCCTCCCTCTCCTCCCACCCCTGCATAACTGGTAAAATAGTTGCCTTTTAAGTCTCCAACTGTCCAAACACCTCCGTATTCACTGCCTCAAATCAGACTTGAGAAGCTTTAATTTCTAACCTAGGCGACAATTGGGATCCCCAAGCACACTATAACTGCCCCACCACCCCCGCACTCCTTCCCTAAAACCTTCAGAAAAAAGGCACATTCTCAAAACGAAATGGCATTGATGCACTCCTAATCCCCCCACTATCCAATAGAACTAGCCAATGATCCGAAACAGGACGATGCAACCTTAATTGTGTCACCTGTGAGAAATGCTCCTCTCAATCTCCAATAACCAAAAACCTAACGATACGGGACATCGCTCTGCCCCCAGGCTAAGTATATCCACCCCCCCTAAAGCGGCAAATCCACCAATTCCATCTCATCAATAAACAAAGAAAAAGCCCACGTAGATCCTAACACTGAGCTCGGTCCCTGCTTCTCCTCCATACACCACACCACATTGAAGTCACTAACCACACACCAAGGAACCCCCTAGCAAAAAGCAATGCATTGTAACTCCTCCCAAAAAGTTGCTCATTCCAAAACTCTCACGGGAACCATAGACCCTGGTAAAGGCCTGTCGATAATCATCTGCAACACAGCAACAAACACGATAACGAGAAAGCCCCCTACTCCACATCCTCCTTCTCTACCACTCGCCGATCCCAATGCAGAAAAACACCGCCTGCCACCCTGACGCCGGTAAGAAAGTCCAATCCACAAAGTGGCCCCCCCAAAGCTCCTTAACGAACTCCCCCTCCCCTGTGTATTCCATCTTTGCTTCCTGAAGACACACCACATCCGCCCTGACACTTCTTAGCAAAGACCGAACCAAGACCCTTTTCCTCCTATCATTCAACCCATGCACATTCCATGACAAAATTTTCAGCTACATAGCAACATCATTTGATCTCCTCGACTCTTTCTAACACCGCTCCCCACCCTTCTTTTGTCCCGATCATAATTTATAGAGCATTCTAATTTACACAACTCCCTAGTATTCTTTCGTTTTTGTCCTCTAGTTCGCGCCTCCTTTCCTAAGGAACACCCTCTCTCCAGGATTCCTCTATTGTAGAAAACAATTTTAAAGCCTCAACTTCATGACCCTCAAAGGAAACACCCAAATATTGACCAACCTCATTAATACGGGATAGCACCCAGGCTAATACCTCCTCTGGTTGCAGAGGATCAGTTCCTTGAAAGTCCACATCTATTGCAGGCTCTTCATCAGCGTCCACCTTATCCACCATATTCGTCTCAACAGACACTGCCTCTGGCTGAACCACCATGGCCATCTCGTCTGCCTTATTTGCCCAACGAACGTCGTCATCCCCCTCCACTTCCGTGCGCCCATCACAGCAAGCCGACGTATCCCAAAAAAGCTCCTCTATCATCGGCAACCCACTACACGATGATAAATCCACATCCACAACACAATCAGCCTGTCGAAAGTTCGACAACGTCCTCCTTGCAAGCCCCGAATGCTCATGCAACTTCGACAATGACCCTACCACTCGATCAGTCGACTGTCATAGCCCACTTCCGTCGCACTTCGACGTTGAAACAAGATTCACATCTGGATTGCTTTGCTTTGACGCATCTAGGTTGGATTGACCCAACCCATTAGACCTTAGCCTACCAACATAACTCCTCTGGCCTAACAAGTTGATCCCATGGCCCAACTCTCCCCCACCTCTTTATTAGCCCCAGTCTGTTTGCCCACATCTTGGCCTATAACTTTTTGGGCCTTAAATTGACCCAGTGAACCATCTCCCTTAGTCCTCCAATTGGGTCTCACAAGGATTGACCTACCCCATTAGCCCTCACTCTTAAAAGTCCTCCCAAATCTTTGCAGATAATCCTCCACCCCCAAATTATGCGACTTACTCTGATCAAATCTTCCCAAATCATGACCTACCAATTCCAACCCCGCACCATCACACAAACCTTCCGGCGACGAAACATGAACCATTGATGGACCTACCTCCATCCACACTAGAAAAGAACTCCCACGAACCCCACTGGACAAAAATTTGTGGTTGTGCAGATTCAGAGTTCCGAATTCTCAATCGAACACAGCCCAAATCAACTAAGGACTAGTCAGCCTCCACACCAATTGCTAACATCACGACACACCTCTTCGCGACAAAGATGTAAAGGTAAGCCCACCAAACCTGAGAAGCATGGACACGGACATGGACACGTGACACGACACGAATACAACATAGACACGCCGACATGTGAATTTTCAAAAAATGCAGGACACGAATGTGGGGCACACGCATGAAATATATAATTTTATATATTTATTATATGCTATATATATAAATATATCACTCAAAGATAATAAAAAAAAAAATTCAATATAACACTAATTCCTATAAATTTATATAGATTTTGTTTTATTATTATATCTTAAGTTGTTTTATTCAAACTTATAATTAGTTTCACGTGTCTAAACGATAGACACGTGTGTTTAAGCGATTAGCACGTATGTCTTCCAAGTGTCCAAAGAGTGTCTGGGCCTTTAAAAAAATTTAAAAATAGGACATGTTTTGAAGAGTGTTGGACACGTGCCTTAAGAGTGTCTAAAAAGTGTCGGTGCCGGACACAGACACGACACGGATACGTTACCTTCTTAGAAGTGTCTGTGCTTTTTAGCTTCAAATGAATCCAAACACTTTTCTCTGAAGTTGGCGTCTAATTGGAGGCACAAAGAGCCAAAGGCGACCACCATTCCAACCTCAGATCACTCCCATTGACAGTCCACCTTCGCCATAACAACGATTCCACTTCATACCACGTCGGAAAAACAAACAAGAACACCTAGCCCCCTAACGGTCGCACCTCCACCTGCCCTGAGATCTTCCACCAATGTCTTACCCAATCACACATGGCCCCAAAGCCCACCCCCTTATCACCTCTCCCTCCCACCCTACCCACCAAGTATCTGTCCAGCAGCCCGAAACCACCCCATCTCAAAACTTAGGTGTCACAAATTCCCCATCAGAGACACACTGGTCAACTTGACCCACCGGTGGTACAACCTTCACCAGAACCACCTTTCCATACATCCCACTAGACCATTTCACCCACCCATCCCCCAGTTTGAATTCTTCCATAACCAACGCAACTCCCTCCTAACCATCCCTAAAAGTCGACATGGGTATGAAAATTTGCTCCCTGCATGGTTCAATCATCACCATGACTTGCACCGACGACCCTCCTCATACCTCCCCAAACCCATGCTACTAGACTTCGACGACCCAAGAATTTCAGATTGCTTGGCGCTTGCGACGCTACCCTCAGCTTCCTCACAATCCAACATACTTCAAATCCGATGAAAACCACAACCCGCTGAAGCCCCTTTCCCCTTTCCACAATCAATAGACTTCGGCGACGTATCGAGTCCACCGACGACTCCTACTCAAACGAGCAACCGCTAAGGAAAAGGATTCGCCGGCGTGGACTAGTTTCTTTTGCATTAGGTAACATTATTCACTCCTAAAATCTCGGAGCCAATTTTGGGAAAAAATCTCTATGTTTGTTTGCATCCCCATGTGCAAGAAAGACCCTTGGGTTTATTAAATAAGAACAATAGAAAAATAATGATACAATTTAAGGAATTGAGACAAATAATATAGAAACTCTTTGCATATATAACAAGAAAATGCCACAAAAACAAAGCAGATAATCACCTTCAGTGCAATGCCACCACTTGAAGCTCCACATGCTATATGTCCTTTAGTGTCAACACAAATATCCCTAATAATATCTTCTGACACATTCAACGTACATAATTGACCATGATCCCCATATGTCTTCAAATGATCACATGGTAGAACTTCTATTTGTGGAACACATGCAAAAACGTTCATAAATTCAAAATAAACTTTAATAAAACAGCCCAACCATAAAATAGAGAGAGAGAGAGAGAGAAGATAAAGTAATTGACATACTTATCATGGTAAAATATTTAGTTGTGAATACCAAAAACAAACCAATTGCTACTAATTTTTTTCAATCTAAACCTTTTTGATGAAGATACCCTTTTGTCTATGGGATAAATTACACTTTATCCTCTTGAACTAGTATCACCTAATATCACTTTACCCTTCAACTGAAAAATGCTACATTTGCCACATTGATTTACAAATTTGTATCAATGTAAACAATTTATTTCTTAGATAAATGAAAATTTGACATGTGATTTGCACATGACATCTCAAATCAAATGCCTAAAATAACATCATCAATTTGTTTGGTTTAGTATTTAAAAATTGTTTTTGAGCTTTTTATTTTTCATATTTTTTTTGGTCTTCAGTGAAACTCCTCATATTTTAGTCTCTTTTTTTTTTCTTTTTTTTTCATTTTTTTGATCTAAAAAAAGTTCATTAAAGATGAAAATACATTAACATACTAGTTTTTTTGTTTTCCATTTTCTATTTTTTCATCTTTAGTAAACTTCTTTTAGATTTCCTTACAAATATTTTACTTTTTAGGTGCATTTAAAAGTTAAATTTTTTTTTTTACTAAAATATGAAAGAAAAAGTTTTACTAAAGATCCCAAAAAAAAAAAAAAAACCACAAAAATCAAAAAACTCAAAAACTATAATTGGGTTTAAAAACCAAAGAAAGAATAAAATTTTTTAGTTGAGGGGGTTAGAGTGATATTGAGTGATAGTTGAAGGGGATAAAGTATAACTTACCCCTATAGTTGAAAGGGTATTTTCGTAATTGAGATCCAAATTGAAAAGAAAAAAAAAAAATAGATAAAGAGGGTTAAGTGTTACAATTTTAGTTTAAGGGGATAAAGTCAAACGTAACGAGTTGAGGGGAGGTAAAGTGAGCTATGGTACACCACATGGTTATGGATACCCAAAAAAAAAATTAAATTGACATATTTAGCAGTGAGCTATGGTCGTGGATAAAAAAAAAACAACGCCCAATAAGTACACATTAATGTGTGTTTGGGAGGGGAAATATTCAGTACACACCTAACCTTTAGCATAATATGTAAAGTGGTGGTCCCAAGACTTGAACCCATAACCTCAAGCTATGGTCGTGGATACCAAATAAAAAATGAAATTGACATATTTAGCATGAACATCCTCCTCTCTCAAACATATTTATCATGAAACAAGTAATTGACATATTTAGTTATGGTACACCACTTAATTATTGCCAACTTTGGGAGGTACGGGAATGTTCTATTTAAAATCTAAATGGCATGGAGTACCTGATAAAGCAGCATTTGCTCGAGTGCTAGAAGAAAGTTCTCCATCAATTTCTGCTTTCATGGCTTTTGCATCATCAAGCATTGATTTGTATTTTTCCCACTGTCTTTTTGCCCTCTCTGTAACCAGCCACTGTTTCCAAAAGATACACAGCAAGTATGATAACTAATTCAAGAATAAAGAACAGATTACTAAAGAAATTTAAGACCAACGTATTCAAGAAAAAATATTGATATATAGGGAAATGGAAATTTAGACAGATATGGCAGAAAACTAAGAGAGTTTACCTCATCAGCCTCTGGTATACTTGCCGGCAAAGGAATACCCTTGGATTTTGCCCACATACATGCACCTTCACCAACCAAGAAGCTAGAAACACAAAAAAATGCCTCATAAGAAAACAAAAATCTGAGGGAGAACAAAAATCCAATTTGACATGATGTTGAAGTAAGAAACTAATTTATCTCCTCAATAAATCATTTCTTTCAGATTTTGAATTAAAGACCAAATCACTGTAACTAATTTCACCCATTACCCTTCATGGTTTCACTTGATTTGAGTTTTACAAGTACTAAACATGTGTAGAAGGCAGATTCATATTCACTATTCGCACATAGTATGCATTACATAACATCTCTAACAAAATAATGTTGCACTACTCATAATTCCCAATGAAAAATCCCCAACTCCTAACTCATGGACATGAGATATACAATCAAAAGAAATAAATAATTACTGTGATAATGCTGCCAGAAAGAGGTAATTTGTATATCAAAATTCAAAGATAAACAAAGGTGTAATCATACATGGGAGGTATTCGACCCAGCAGTGTTGACCCCAACATTTGTTCCTTGGCCAACAAAGCAGCAATTGGATACCATTCCAGACACCTGCTGATTATTAACTTCACAGAAATGAAGAGCATAAAAAGAAAATGAAAGCTCCATAACATTATCAAAGCCAAAGAATAGAAGAAATTGCAGCTCACAACATAAAAACTTATTTACTTATTTAGAGTATGGTTTCCATTAATTATACTTCAGGAATACCTGGCACCACTCCAACAGCCCGAAATGCCCCAGAATCACCATCCATGATACTGGCATCACATTCCACATGACCATCTTCAGTCAAATTTAGCCACACCCAGCATTTGTGCTTGGATCATCCTTTAAAGAAACAAACTTCATCAATAATGAAATTCACAATAGCTAGACAGAATTCAGAAGAGAAACACTATCAAAAAATTTCCACTGCATGAAATGGCTCTTTCCACATCAAACAGATAGGAGGAATGTTCTAGGGCCATATCTAACACACCCAACAACCCTACAACATCAAAGCCCAACCATACCCCTAGGGCATTGTATTGGTCCCCTTAAGTTTGAACCAATCCAACGATCCCAGACAGCCCATGTACCACTAGCTTATGTTCATCCAAACCAATTATTGCACAGCTAAAATGTCATTGAACTATCTTGTAGTTTCAAATGTGTAATTCCATCTACCATATACAAGACCAAAAATTTCACAAAATACTAAAGAAAAGAACAATCCATGAATTTCAGTTAACTATTGACATGACTTTAGAGTCCACGTTGTAAAATTTCTTACTTTTTTCCACGTAATCCAAGTTGCATGTAAGCATCCTATACAAAAGAAAATAAAGAACTCTTCGTACCACCCACTACTATTACTTTTCAGCTTTGTAGCTTTAAAACAGATTAGTTTCCAAGCAAGTGACATGCAGAAGATTGGCTTGGTTGCGTTGTTGCACAAGTAGAGCATTTAAAAGTCCCATCCACAAACCCAACCCACTCTCCCCACCAAAAAATGTATAAAGTATTTTGGGCTCTATGCATCTCATCAAATAAGAAATGTCTCAGTTATAGGCTGCTTCCAAAATCAAATCTTATTTCTAGTATGTCATCTTGATCATGGTTGCTCAACTGTTATCTGCCAATCAAAGTGGTATTATGATGAGCCTTCATTATGCAATCTTCATGTGAGCTCTAGGGGCCATTCAATTTTAATATCAACTCCACACAACTACTTGTTGACTGCATTAAGTCACCAATATAGTAGCAATAAGAGATTCTAACAGGGACAGCAGCATTAATGAAGCAGCAATCTTGATTCATGCTAAGCTCAGGATGACTTGGGTAAACATTTTTGTCTAGCAGACAAGATAATACAACAATAAATAATCACTATAAGACAACTCTGAAGTCTAAATACAATACTTTGAAAAGGAAGAGGAAGAAAAGGACCTTAGAGGCATATAATTCCAACAGAGATTCAGAAGCAACCCTACAGCAACATATCATCCTCTATTGATTTGGACATAGACAAAAGATCGTGGAAAACAAATAGCCAAGACAGGAAAATCAAGTCAATTTTTGTTCTAATTTGTGCTTTCCTTTTATTGTTTTCTAAGGGTGGATTGTTCTTGAAGTAAAAAAACAGTAAGGATCATTGATGTGCAGATGAACCATTGCCAAGCACAATGTAGTTACGAGGCATAGCCTGGGGTTGTGGTTGATGAAGAGAAACTAATTTATTTTTTTCAAATTAAAAGTTGCTTTGAAAATAAATATAGAGTAGCTTTTGTTTTTCAAAGTCTCGTAAGTTTAAAGGTTCATTAAGATCCATAATTTTTTCTAGCTTCAAAATATGAGTGATTTTAAAAAATTCCTTTTAGTGAACCTGCGCCTGCATTGTAAAGCAAATCTAGCAATATGGAAATTGCTGAGCGGCATCCAGAAAATCCTCTTAACCCTTATTCTAATCTATATTGTTATATTAAAGCAACATCCCATTCGGTAAAGCCTATTTCCAAAGACATGTTATATTTTTTTTATTTCCAAAAAAGTACAAAGGGAATTGATTAATTCATTTGTGTAAGAATTTTTAAAAATATAAATCAATGAAGACAGTTGCAATAATTCATTAAAAAATAAATTTGAAAAATCATACGATGAGATAAGTTCATGCCCATAGTGCATGACATCCTTCTAGTTCATTTAGAATGAAAAGTTCTATTTTCCACCACTAACGATTATTTGCATGCTCCAAATTTCTATAGATTCAACATTGTAACTTACTCAAGACAATCAACATCCAACACAAAGTAAATCTTTAATGCCTTAAATAAAGTACAGCATGGCAACATAAACACGCAGAATCTATTATACACAGGCTCTCTCTCTCCCTCTCCCTCCCTCTCTCTCTCTCTCTCTCTCTCTCACACACACACACACACACACACAAAGAAACAAGCAGCATATCCAAGACTTGTATTGCAGCTGAAATAGCATCTATGCACCCACCAGGACCCTAAAACATAGCAAACAAACAAGTGCATTAAAGGGTGTGTGTTCAAAAACAAAATCACAAAACAACCACATAACTAACTTTAATATTCTTTATATTTGGTATTAGAATTGATATAACAACTGTGAATTAGTATTTTATATTATTCATTAAGGGTAGTTTAGTCATTTAGGTTATTAGGGTTTTATTCTATTTAGATTATATATTTGTACTCAGCCCTTTTGGTTGATTAATTCAGTAGTCACTATACAATATTCTTCTTCTCTGTTATCATGGTATTAGAGCCACAACCCAGACGCTAGAATACCTGTCGCAGGCCATCATCGACCATCGTAGTCCCTTTCTCTCTTCGCAAGGCCGTCATAGCCCTTTCTCTCTCTTTGCAAGGCTTTGCTGGGGTTCTCTATTTTCTTCTTCATACTTCGAAGCACTTTACTCCTCCTGGTAGCTAGTTCTGGTCTCTGCTTCAGTCAGAAACCTAGGTTGCGTGTCTTACACAGCCGAATGCTCTTTAACCTGTTTTGACCCCTCAACTGGTTCATCTGGTTCGATCGAAGCTCTCTCTGTCTGGTTCGATCGATTCCCCTATGTGAATCTGGTTGATGATCTCTCTGTCTCTCCCTTTGGTTCATGCGATCAAAGTAAGGTTTGACCTTGCCACTAGATTTTGCTCCAAACTCTGAAATTGACTTCGAATTCGACTTCTGGCTCAATCTCTTAGCCTCGGTTTCTCTCTGCTTCTGGTTTCGGGTTCACTCTCTCTCTCTCTCTCTCTTCTTTGACTTGGTTCTCTCTTATTGATATTTGTGGGTGATTGGTTCTCTCTCTTAGTGGTTATTATATTTGTGGTTCTCTCTCTTAGTGGTTTTTTTTCAATCTACTTTGATTTTATTGTGCTATTTAATTATAGCAATATAACTGATGATAAACTGCAAGGTATCACCACTAAGTTGGATGGTACCAATTACTCTTATTGGTCTCATGTAATGAAAAATTTTATAATAGGTAAAGGCATGTGGAACTATGTTATTTGTGTGACTATTAGACCTACAGAATCCAAAGAAATTAAGACCGATGTTGCTAAATGGGATAAGGAAAATGCTCAAATTCTTACTTGGTTTCATAATTCAATTCAAACTACCATTGGCATGAATTTTTCCAAGTATTCTATTTCTAAACAAGTTTTGGACTATTTGAAAACTATGTACCTTGAGCCTAATTTTGCAAAACAGTATGAACTTGAGATGTCTATTCGCAGCACTAGTCAGAAAGATAAGTCCATTTAGGAGTTCTACAATGAGATGACTACTTATTGGGATTAGCTTGCTTTAACGGAACCATCAGATTTGCTATTACTTGACAGTTATACTAAGTATCGGGAGAAGCAACGTCTTATTCAATTTCTTATGGCACTCTGTGATCAATTTGAGACACTTCGGAGAGCTATTCTTCATCGGTCCCCCTTGCCTTTTATGAATAGTGCTGTCTGTGAGCTTATTGTGGAAGAAACTCGATTCAAGGTGGCTCATGGTGCTCCTGCTTCCCAGACAGTTTTTGCCACTCTTCCGCTCTAGCCTACCCCACCATCTTCTTTATTTCAGGTTACCGGTAAGCCTAAACCTCGGGTTTCCATGGATGAATGCAGCTTCCGTCATCAGAAAGGCTATTGGAAACATGCTTGTCCTAAACTTTTGCAGCCCAAGGGTCATTCGTCTAGTGCACCGTCCTCTAAGTCGAAATCTTCAAGATCTCACTCATCTGCCGCCTTTTCTGCACCAATTTCTGAGAATGGTCCGTCTCTAATATGTAGTCTATGTCTGAGCAATCTTTCATGGTGGCCAATCCAAATCTTTCGTCCTAGGCCTCCGTTATGACTACCACTCAGTTAGGTTTGTCTGGTTTATCTTCTTCAAGTAATATCCACACTTCGTGGATTTTTTATTCTGGTTGCTCACATCATATGACCCCTGTTGCATCTCTCCCCTTCTTCTATGCTTGTACACTATTGGTTCTATTTCCTCTTCTCGTTTGTCTCTTTCTCCTGTATTTTATGTGCCTCACCTCTCACTCAGCCTTATTTCTGTTAGTCAATTATCTGATTCTACCAACAGGGGGTTGGTTTAGTAGATAACACCTTAGAATCCCTCGCTCAAGGCTTGAGTTCGAGTCTCCATAACCCCTTGTTGGGGTTAAACATATTCTTTAGCGCCTGGAGTACGCAGGAGGCCTAAGCTTCGGCCTTGACATAGATGCGGTGGGGTTCCTTGTAGATATGTTGTAGATGCTAAGGGGTAACACTCCCTCGCGGATATGTTGGAGTAGCCTATCTGCATATCCATCTTTGTAATCAAAATTATCTGATTCTGGATTTGATGTTGTTTTCTCTTTTTCTCATTGTGTTGTGCAGGATTGGGTATCCAAGAGACAGATTGGGATCGGGCGTAGAGTTGGAGAACTATATATCTTGGACAGCTTGCATGTTCCTCTAGACGTGTCTTCTACTGCATTGTCTTCCTTTATTTTAAACAATAAGTCTTCTTTATTTTATATTTAGCATTCTAGGTTAGGTCATCTGTCAAGTGACCGTTTAAGAATGTTAGTTCGGTCTGGACATTTAGGCAATTTTCCCATTGATGATATTTCGGACTATCGTGGTTGTAAACTAACTAGAATGTCTGTTTTTCCATTGAATAAAAGTAGTTTTATTTCATCTTTTCCTTTTCAATTGGTTCATACTAATGTTTGGGGTCCTTCCCCTATAGTTACCAAGGGTGGTTTGCAATATCATGTGTCTTTTGTGGATGATTATAGTCGATTTACTTGGGTTTATTTGATGACCCGAAAATCTGATTTTTACAACTATATTCCAATTTTCACTTCATGATTCGCACTCAGTTTTCCACCATCATTAAAGCTCTCTATTCTGATTTGGCGGGTGAGTATTACTTGTCTAAGTTTGAGGAGTTTTTAGCTACTCATG